CTGCGGCTGTGCACCAGATCCAGCGTCTTAGGAAGCATGCGTGCTGATCCTCCTCTCCCCACAACAGTGGATGCACTTTCTGAGAAATCAGATCTGGTGCACAGCCGCAGGACTTCTCCTCCACCCCACCCCATGCCACAGGAAGGCAGGCAGACAGCACAGGGAAGGAAGTCCCATGGCTACACACCAGAGCCAGTGTCTCAGGAAGTGCGCTAGCTGTTTTGGGGAGGGGAGGAGCAGCGTGTGTTTCCTGAGATGCCGGATCTGGCACACAGCTGCAGGATTTCCACCCACCCCTCGCACCTCCCCTGGCCACAGGAATCCGGCACTACCTCCATTTTCACAAGAGGTTGTAGCACCAGGGTAGGCTCTCTCTTGGGGGGGACTGAAGGGAGGCTGGGAACACCTCTCAATCGACTTGGCATGCCTCCATGATGGATGGGTTGGTGACCACGTCCTTAATAGGATGATAACGACCCAGCTCCCAGCCAGTGAGCTGGGTCATTATTTGCAAAGCATCTTGGGAGCCTCAGGTGGAGGATGTGGTTTGCTTAGCATTTGCCTAGCAGTTTGCCATCCACTTTCTTCTTCCCGTGAGAAACCCAGTCCTCTGCAATTGATCTGAGTACTTGGGAGGTGGGCCTAAGCCACAGAGGTTGAGATGAGGTTTGGGTTTTGGTTCAGCCCCACGGTATTGAGAGTTCAGAATCAGGGCTCTCTTTAAGACAACTCTATAAAGAGTTTACTCTATGTCCCATTTCTGTGCAGTTCTTCCTATACAAGCATACACACAACATCGGCCACAAGTTATTACCGCTTCTTGCAGGCTGGCAGGACTCCCTCACTGAGAGAGAGGCTCCCTTATCAAGAAGAATTCTCAGCCCATTAAGTCTGTCTTTTATGGTGAAGGAGTTGGATTCATTGGAGGGAGGACAGGCCTCCTCCTAGGGAGAGTACACACAGTTGGGGAGTGAGCACTCCAGTGTCTCATTAAAAAGCACAACCAACACCCTCACAATAATGGGTGTGAGGGCTGGCTCCTCAGCCTGGGCAGACATAGTATAAAAGATGTAAGCAGCTTCTCAGGTATGCGCCGTAAAGCAAGGCAAGTCATGTACATGCAAAGGAGATGCACTAAGCCAAGGCATTCCTTCCGGAACCTGACGCCATCCCTTGCTATGAGCCAGAAAATGCTGTAACCGCACTGCCTGGAACGTCTGAGGCTGTGCTATTCATCCAAAATTGATCTAGATAGTCTGCCCTAACCCAAGCAAGTTGGGATACTTTGCCTCAGTTTCTTTCTTTGCAGAATTGATATAAATCTTCCTAGAGGGGTTGGGATCAAATGAGTATAGCTTTCAGACCTGTTTATAGAGAGACTAAACTTTTAATGGGACTGTAAAGTCATTTGATTTTCTATGATAAGATTATATTGAAACTCTCAACACTCTGACGAGGTAAATACGCTTTCTAATTTTACAGTCGGGTCTGAAACAACTAGCCCCATGCTGCATTCTGGAGTGATGGATAAGCCAGGAACCATCATTCCCAATACTCCAGTTGCTGAGAGAGGGCAGTGGGTTTTATAGTGGTACAAGGTGTGTCGGGCTGCTTCTGATTGCTCATCATTCACAGTCTCCTTGCATTAGCAAATCCAGCTCTTTCAAGGAACTGTTCAGAATATTTGTTGCCACTTTCTCTTGCGCTTGTAACTTTTACATGAAGAGTCTCCCATAGTGAGTTCATAGGATTGTTATTGTAGTATTCTCCCAGGGTGCATCTAGACTTGCCAGCTGTCTACGCGGGCTGCTTGGATTTGCGCAAGAGCACTGATGTTCTAATGTAAGAATTCAGTGCTTCTTGCGCAAATACTTTGACGCTCCCGCTCAGCGATAAGCCCTCTTGCGCAAGATTACTTGTGCAAGAGGGCCAGTGTAGACAGGCACCTTAATTTTTTGCGCAAGAAAGCCCGATGGCTAAAATGGCCATTGGAGCTTTCTTGCGCAAAAGCGCGTCTATACTAGGCACAGATGCTTTTGCGCAAAAGCACTTTTTGCGCAAAAGCATCTATGCCAATCTAGATGCTCTTTTGCAGAAATACTTTTAATGGAAAAACTTTTCCGTTAAAAGTATTTCCGCAAAATCATGCCAGTCTAGACGCAGCCTCAGGGTAAGAATCAATGTGATAGGACTGTGCCTAAACATCTCCTCCCATTGCAGATGCCTGACTATTGCCTGGATCAATGTGGTGATGATTTATATGAACAGAATGGCCTGTGTGAAAAGGCTACTCTCACCGCCTCAGTGGGGCACTCCATGCTGATTTCCCTTGAGAACGCCATGCAGGACTTGCTGCGAGATGCCAAGGAAAAATTCAAGAGCTGGGTTACTTGTCCAAACTTGGAACGTGTGGAAGTAGCAAATAAAAAGGTAAGTCTGATGCTGGGGTGTTAGCAAAGATGGCAGTTGACAATTACTCACTTTTTAGAGCTTGGGGTGTGGTGAAACTAATTGTGTTTCTGCCTAACACCAATTCAGCAGCTACCCCAGAGCCACAATTCCCTAGTGCCTTTTATTTGTAGTCTGTAATGTCTAATATTTATCAAAGTTGAACTGCCCATTTGTGACTTGTACACCCTTTATCAACAGCACGTCCTTATGCAGGGCCATCGCTAGGGGGCGCAGGGACCAGGACACACCTGCCCACCACAGGTTTCTCTGCCACATCAATGCAGAGCACGATGGGCGGGAGAGGGCAGTGGGGTGGAGTGGAACAGGCTGATGGATTGCTCTGGCTCCTGCCGCCATGGTGATTGCAGGTGGGGGCTGACCCCTGTAGCCAGGCCCCCCATAATCTGCTAGGCCACCCTGAAATACAGGCTAGATAAAAGGCTTTAAAATGGAGAAGATAAGGTCAGAGAGGGAGGAAAGGAGGAGTGCGGAGCTGTCCTGTCCATATGACTAATCATCCCAGGCAGCTATCCCAGGCTCCACAGCTGCCACCCCAACCGTCCTATGAACAGGACAGCTCTGTCCATATGTGGGCAAGACATCCATTTGATAGGAAAAAGGGGAACCTTTATTGTAGATACCAGAAACATGAGTACTTATCTGTTTAGTGGGTAGTTTATTCATATTGTAAAGCCCCTTTACTACACTTTGGCTTCTAGAATAATTCTTTATATTACACACCATGTTGAAAGGCTGTCTAGGTTTCAGTTGGAAAGAGAGTGTGTTGGAAGGGGCAACAGATTACTAAATCAGCTCTTAGTAGACTGTGTCTGTTAACTGACTTCTAAGGTGGAAGATAACTATCATGTCCGGTTATGGAAAGCATCCACTGAAATAGAAGTCGGTCCTAAAGTAATCCTCCAACGCATACTGACTGAGCAGCATCTGTGGGACCCAAGTCTACAGCAGGCTAAAATCCTAGAGACCTGGGATGAAGAAACGGATGTTTATCACTACACAACAGAAGGCATGTCACCCATCTTGCCACGGGAGTATGTGGTTTTGAGGTAATAGTGATGTGAGTTTTCTCATTGGTTTCCCAAACACAACTTGTAGCCCAAGCGGTGTGTTACTTCCCTAGATTTCATGTGACTCAAAGGGGGTGCAACCACCTCTCTAATTATCTGTTACTGTGATATTATGATAGTGTGGATTATAGTATTCAGTCCCATTTGCGAGCCCGTGTGCCAATATAACAGTAACAGTCTTCCCCAAAGAGCTTACTGACGTAGTAGGAGGCTTACATTAATACGATTCAGAAGTTGTTTCCACATTCCTGCCTCTTTTCTAAAAATTATAGCAGAACTGCAAATGTTTGTCAAAGCTGTACAGTCCCACCCCGTGCGAGAATCCTTGGTTTGTGTCTGGGGAAAATGTAAATTCTAGTCCAGTATGTACAAACGACAATGTATGGATCCTATTCTATCACTTTTTTTCTAAGGAGGTATAGGTGGAAGACTTGGATTGATGGGGGTTTTTCTCAGATCAGCTTACGTGATTTAGACCCCTGAATCTGCTTGAACAGATTGTTGTGTTCATATGCAGAGTCGTTTCATGTGGATGCATTGGAACACTTAGGGCAGGGCTACTTAACTTTGGAAGCCACAGAGGCCACAATGCCAGAGCACATGCCAAGGGCTGCAACTTAAGTGTGGTTGCATATTTATGCAAATATTTATGCAGATGTATGCAAATAGCTTGTTTCACACTGACAGCCATGAATACAAAGATTAAGGCAAGACTGCACAACACACAGGCCCCATGTAAGTCAGTTCTGCTGATATTAATAAAATGCAATATTTGCCTGATTTCCACACACATGACAACACTTTTAATGAGCAATGATAGTCCAGGAATGTAACTACTAAAACACCCATCAACAGAAGACTGTTATATTTACTACTTTTGTAAGTACAATCAGTGTGAAGTTAAAGGCACCGAGGGGAGAAGTGGCCTGTCTAGAAAAGGAACTCAGGAACCCTGCTTCCCAGAATCCCTCCCTTTCCCCTGCCCACCCTGCCAAGCACCAGCTCCCACAGTCCTCACAGAGCAGAGACTGCAACCCCCAAAACTAATCAACAGACCCACTACCCACATACAGGAAAGGAAAGAAGCCAGAAATGTTAATGCCCAGTTCCCTGCTGTAACCCAATGCACCCACCCCTCCCCCAGAGCCAGGTACCCTCCAGAAACCCCTCAGAGCCAGGCACCCCAGCCTCCCTGCTTCAGCCCAATGCCCTTCCCCTCCCCTAGAGCCAGGTACTGCCTCCCCCACCGCCCCAACCCTCTGCTCCAATGCCCCATCCCTCCCTCAGAGCCAGACAACCTCAGCCCCCCTGCTCTAATCCAAAGTCCTTTCCTTCCTGCAGAGCCAAGGATGTAAATCTAGCGGGGCGGAGGGTAACACCCTAGGTCTCACCGGAGCCAGGCACTTTTCCCTCCAGGCGATGGGGCCTGTGCACAGAGCGGCTGTGGACAGTCCGGGTGCGCAGCTCCAAACGTTCCATTAAAGGCACGTGCCACTGCCCCCTCCCCGATCCCCTTTGCAGGGCAAAAGATCCCGGACATTTTTTGACATCACCATCTGGATGAGTTTTTTAACATGTGAAAACAAGGTCATGTCTGGGAAAACCAGACTTGTGATAACCATCCCCAGGCCCCAGTGCAGACCTTTCTCACTCCAGCCTCGCTGCCTGGCTCCACTGCTGCCTCGCTCTCTTGCTGCCCAGTTCTGCCACTGGCTTGTCATGTGCCTCACTGCCCAGCTCCCCCGCTGCTTCTTGCTGCCACAGCAGCTCCTGCACATGCGCTGCTGCAGCCTGGCTTGGTGCCGCACCGTGGGGCTCCGCTCGTGGGGAGGAGCTGCCACTGTGGCCAACATGTCAGGCTTGTTCTGCTGCTGCTTCTTGCCACCCCACCCCTACCCCCCACTGGCCGGCAGCTAGCAAAATTGATTTATACCTAGCAAAATTAATTATACAGCAAATAGAGCAATTAAAGAATCAGAGATCCTGCAGACAAACAATAGGGAAGTGGGGATTTCACCATAATTAAGAAATGAGGATTTCACAACCCCATCTATTGATAAATAGTTTATCTGACAGAATGCTGTCAAGTTTTGTTCTTAACCATCTTAAGGGCTGTGTCTTTTATCTGGTGGTGATTGGGTGCCAGCAGGACAGGGTTTCCTCCTTAACAGCCTGATTACTCTACTCTAATGTAATTTAGATTGATTGTGAGGATGTGATTTCCTGCTTCTCAGCTAATGGCTGCTTGCTTTTTCAATCTGGCTTCAGTAGAAGGCTGTAGGCTTTAGCCCAGGGGTGAGTAACCTAAGATCCAGGGGCTGGATGTGGCCCCCAGCTAGCCTGAATCTGGCCCCCAAGGCTTGGGGCTCCTCCCCAGCATTGGGGGAGCCTATGCTGGCACTCCAGCCCGCCCACCTTGGAGCTGGAGCACCAAAATCTACTAGCCTAGGCCCCCCTCAATGAGAGTTTTATTTATTTGCTTCTCACTTGTGTGGCCACCAACTGATTTTTTTTTTTTCTGTGGGTCAGTGGCCCCTGACCCAAAAAGATTCCTCATCTCTGTTTTAGCCCTTATAATATGGCTACAGAAAAAGGTCTTCTCTTTACACTTACAGGTGCACTGCTGCAGTTGTACCACTGTAGTGCTTAGTGAAGATGCTGTCTACACTGATAGCATTGAAAGTAATCCACCTCCAAGAGAGGTGGGAGCTACGTTGACAGGAGCCCTCCCGTCAACATGGCCTTTTCTCTATAGGTCAGTATAACCAGGGCTCGACAAATGCGCTCGCCCGTGGTGAGTAGATTTCGCCAGCTGGCGAGTGCAGAGGCGGACTGGCCCGGTGGGCGGTTGTGACGGACTGGCCGAAGCCCACACTACGGGCGGCGCAGCCCCATCCAATCCGCCAGCCGGCGGAGGAGCAGAGCGCTGCCGGGGAGGGGGGACTGCGGCGATTCTCAGCGCCGGGCTGCCTGCGTGCAGCTGCGGTGCAAGGAGCCAGAGCACTGACAGACAGCAGTACGCTGACGTGACGTGACCCCACCGATTTTAAA